GTTTTTATTCCTAGAGTAATAACGAGAAGTAATGAGATAAATAGGAACAGGGAAGAAACGGTTATCGAAGAAAAAATAGTTTTTTTCGCATGCCTATAAAAAACACCGGCGACTGGCAAAATAATCGGTCGATAGAACTTTAAATTTACATAAAAAATTCACTTTTATATGGGTTTTATAATAAATAAGAAAAAAGAGCTTTTTTAATGTTTGAAGTCGTTAAAAATTGAAAAAAATAAAGTCGGGAAATAAAAAAATAAAAATGTTTGCGCGTGGGATTGCGTGCTTCAGGTGCGAACACCGCGACAGCAAAATACACATTCCCTGAAATTTTCCCCGAAATATTTGCTGTCAGCCCTCCCCTAAGACGCATTCTGAGCAGAACTCACCGACAGGCCTAGGATCCACTGTACCGAAAAATCCAAACCCGTGAATAACCCCATTAGAAAAAATTACAAGGTCTTCATAGTCCAACTCTTCCTCTGGCTCTGCTTTCCCGTCTTTGTCAGGTAGCTGAATCCTAATTTGTCTTGGGGGTGGAGTAGTTGGTTCGGTTGTCTCTTCTTCTTCCTATAAATAACTCAATTTGTTGGGAAACTGGATAAAGTTCAAATTTAGCCTAAATAAAAACCTCATCAGGAAACAGTGTAGTAGTTGCTGTGGTTGTAGTAGCTTCGGTTGTTGTGGTTGTTGCTGGTGTGGTTTCAATTTCATAGTCTTCATCTTCAATATCTACAAGCCATCTGGTGCCTTTGGCGACTTCTTCTCAGTGACTCCCGGAATTTCTGCATTCTCGTCATAGTCATCTATGTTTGGCGCTGGGAAGCTGGTTCCGAATTCCGGTCCGATTCCGCCACCAGCTGTTTTTCCTGGGGCTGGTCCAAGCGCTCCAAGATTCAAGCCGTTACCACCACCTTGTTTCATCAGAGCTTCTAAAAGAGAAAACTAAAATCAAACAGAGTATTCTCAAACTTACGAGAGTTTTTCGCAGTTTGTTCTAAAACAGCTGGGAACCAATTACCCTCTGAAGCTTGATTGAGCACACCGACTCCTGTTCCAGTCAGTTGAAGAGCTCCTTGTGCAAGTTGATACACTGAACATTAGTTAAAGTAAGCATTTGATTAGAAAAATACGATTACATTGCCCAATTTGAGCAAGAGCTCCTCCTGCTTGACCCGCAGCGCCAGCACCAGCTGCTCCCGCTCCGGCAAGTGCTCCGATCCCAGCTCCATTACCTTCAAATGAAACCAATATATGTAAATTGGCCTTGCAATTTTGTCCTCTTGCATAGTTTCCAGTTTTTGATAATATAAACATCGAGATTTCGATTTCAATCAAATAATGTTTCTTTGAGAACAGGTTCAAACTAAATTTGTATTTTTCAAGATCTCTAGCAAAAAACACCGATAAAATGCTCCACCTGTTTTGGTGTCTCTAGTGTCGACGCAATTTTCTTTTTCTGTTTTCCCATCTGTAAATGTTGCGCGATAGATATCTTCATTTTAATGAATTCCGATTCCTGTTTTTGCGTGATTGTCCACTGTTTCTGTTTCCTATTTCGGCAAAACCGCGCGTATATACATACTTCTTAGGATGCAGAAGCAAGGAAATTAGGGCAAAAAGGAGGAGAAGAGGAGAATGACAGACAGAAAAGGTGGCATTCGCACGCAATCTGACAAGAAGAAAAAAGAAAGACAAATGCGAATATCTGATAACAAAAAATTGAGATCTTGCCGATTTAATGTATCGTTGCGTGGATATTGGATCATCAGCAGCGGGGAGAGGCAGATATGAAAAAAATCCTTGTACATTGGTCGGAATTATTATCGGTTTTTTTATTCGAAAAAATTTTATCAAATGGGAAAACAGGATTTTTTCAAAGTTGCTGATTGATCTTGAACTCATATTATGAGTTCCCCAAATTTTATAAAGTTCTAAGACGATATATGACTTAGCTAAACGAAAGAAGTTTCGACAAAAAAAAGTACCAATTTTAGAAATATTCATTCCATAAAATCATGATTTGACACGGATTTCATAAAAACATCTTTGATCAAAACTTACCGAGGGCTCCACCAAGAAGCGATGTGGCTAGTGAAGCAATCTCACCAAACTGTGCATTTGTGCCGGATATTAGTAACAAAAGAAAGGTAAATTCTTCCCAACGCATTTCGAAAATGCGTCTCAATTCAAGAATCGAGTGGGAAAACGATAGATGAAGACGAGCGGCTTGGTAGGAGGGCGCAACCGAATGACTTTGGGTTTAAGACGATCAACACAGACACACAAAACGCGAAACGATGATGAAGCCCAGCTGAATACGTTTTGGATAGAGCGGGGCCGTAGGATGACGACGACGAAGAAGATGAGGTACAAGGAATTCTCCACAGTCAACGAGGAAAAGAGAAGAGAGGGAGGAACAAGATGTAGCCGGAGAGCGAGAAGGAGTCAGAAAAATGTCGTCAGCTTCAACGGCTGCGGGAAGTCTTGGTGACGGTTAATGCCATGGTCATCTCTTTTTCGGACTGGTTTCTTCGCCATTGGCTTCTTCGTCTTCTACCGCTAGTTTTCAAAGGGCAGACTAAGACTCAATGCATATTTTGGCAGCAATGTTTAAAGCTTTCAACAAAGAGTATTAGATATGGAAATCTGTCAGCGTCGTTTTAACTTCTGAGCACAATCGTGTAACTGATCAATATATCGAGATATTCAGAAACAATTTACCGACAGTTTTGTTGAAATTCGAAAATGACAGATTTCATCCTGACAATATGTATTGATCCTCTTATTGCAGTGAACCTACCCTCTTAAAACGAACGAATTTGAATCCCAATTCTTTTTCGCCAAAATATCACAAATTGTTCGTGTTTCAATTTATTCAGTACAGATTCTTGTACAGTGTTTTCCGCCATTTTTCTGGAACATAAGGCAATAATAGTCACAAATGCATCAATCTTGAGATTACATCGGAGATTTGTAGACGACCCAAAAAGCGGCTATGACCGACCAAAAAGCGGTTATGAACAACAAAACTTTTTACAGCTTTTTTGTTTCCATTTCGTCAAAAGAAATTAAGGGTTTTGATAAGGGTTTAATTAGCACCATTTCTCAATGTTTACCAGAAATGAAAAACATTCGAAAAAATACAAATATGGAGTGGTCTGTCTTCATTTATTTCTTTGAACCATCAAGATTAGGACTAACTCTTGCGCTTAGGACTAACTTTAGGACTAAATCTTGCGCTTAGGACTAACTCTTGCGGTTAGGACTAACTCTTGCGGTTAGGACTAACTCTTGCGGTTAGGACTAACTCTTGCGGTTAGGACTAACTCTTGCGGTTAGGACTAACTCTTGCGGTTAGGACTAACTCTTGCGGTTAGGACTAACTCTTGCGGGTTAGTCCTTCTTGGCTTCGTTTTATCATTTTCTTTTCCCGGTTCCCATCAATCTTTGTTATCTTCAAATCTTCGAATAAACGAATATATATAAAAGATGTTCGGGATTGAAAGGTGTTTTTATGATCATATTGGCATTTATTATCAAAGTTCTTAGATCTCGTTTTCAAGGTGAACTGGTGGAAACTTGGAACGCCACCACACGGACGCATTTTCTTCTCTTTCTTCTTTCTTATTGTTCCTTATTGTGCTATTTGGAAAACAAGAAAGGAGATTATCTAGAAATTCGCGTTGATGGATGAAGTTGTTTTTTTTCTAATATGAAGGTATGAACTTAAAAGAAAAAGTTTAGTTGCAGACACGAGCTTTTTGGTTGTAACTTTTTTCAATGCGATTCGAATCAAGAAAAACATTAATTTCGAATGGAAATCTTGTTCGCAGGTATTTAGAAACAGATATTTCATGCTTCAACATCTGCCACATTTTTTGAATAAAATTCATTTCGCGTTATAATTCTTTGACGAGTAATTTGTAATTTTCTTCAATTTTGTGATAGCTGCAATTGTTGATTTGACATATCAGACCCCAACAGAAAACTTGTTAGTTTTGAGAGCACTCAATACAATAGAAAACCCAAAAAAACGTCCAACTCATCAAGTGTAAGGCCTGTTCTGATCTGCAGTACTCGCATTCTGCGCCTCTTTGTGTACCGCCCATTTATCGTCAGGTCATGGACGTCTTCTCGCTAGATGTACATGCATTTATGTCTTCTCTCGTCAATGTGTCTTATATCCGCGCGTTTCTCCCCTGTATGTACACGTGTAGCTATGTTGGTTCATTTATTTTCTTGAAAAATTAATTGCATTCTTCTCTTTTTTGTGCATTGACAAGTTTTGCAGGTAATGTGGCGACTGCTAGTCGTATGTCTACTATTGGGGACGCTGGAAGCCGTGGACCGGCAAAACTTCAAAACGTGCGATCAATCGGGTTTTTGCAAGTAAGTTTTCTTGAAGTTTGCGTTTTCAAGTGGAAAATACGTATAACGAGAGATGTGTTGTTCTGAAATCGAGATAACTGTGTTGAAAACTATAAACTTTTGCTTTACTGGTTTCTTAAAATCTCTTCACCGATACCATTGATGTGTTTTGAAATCTAGCATTGATAAATTAGCATTTGAAAACCGTTTTTGTCTATTGTACTGCAGAAAGAGGAAATATTTTTTCAACACCTCACGCAAATTTTTAGGCGCCATCGAGCGGTCACATCGCCGACTGGATATGAAGTTGTACAAGATTCTATCAACATCAACGACACTGGGCTTTACGCACTCCTCAAAAACAAAGATACTACACTGAAACTAACTATTGTGACATTGCAAGACTCCACAGTTCGAGTGCTCATTGATGAGAACGAAGCAGCGCTTAGAAAACGATACCAGCCTTTGGAAGCATTAGTTGAAAGAGAGCCAAAACAGCAAAAGTGAGCCTGGTATTTTAAAATTATTTGACGTTAGAATAATTTTTCAGGGTTAAGAAAACCAAAGAAGAAGCCTCTGTCACAAAAATTCTGACCACAGACGGGAATCGTGTTGTGCTTCAACACAAACCTTTCCGAGTGGATTTTTATGTGAAAGACAAAATTGTCTCATCTATAAACGCCAAGGAAACGCTTCATTTTGAAGTTTTCAAGAAAAAGGTTTTATTGACAGATAGAGAAAAAGGATTCTGGGAGGAGACATGGAAAGATATCAAGGACACAAAACCACACGGATCGTCATCAGTCGGTGTGGATATTGCTTTTGTGGGAGCTAAGCACGTTTTTGGAATTCCGGAACATGCTGAAAGCTATTCTCTGAGAGACACCAAGGCCTATGAACCATACCGCCTGTATAATTTGGATGTGTTCGAATACGAGACCAACTCTCCAATGGCTCTCTATGGATCCATTCCTTACTTGGTTGGAGTTCACCAGAAACGATCAGTTGGAGCACTTTGGCTGAATGCTGCTGAAACTTGGGTTGACATCGAACCAACAACTGCTGACAAGGGGCGACTTACCAAAGAAGTTTTGGATGCCGACACCAAACCAAGGCAAGTTCCACAGCACAACGCTCGGTTCTATTCCGAATCTGGTCTTATCGACATCTTCATCACTCTTGGACCACAGCCAAACGACATTTTCCGTCAGTTAGCCGCTCTCACGGGAGTCACACCTTTGCCACCAGCATTTGCTTTGGGATACCATCAGTCTAGATGGAACTACAAGGACCAGAAAGATGTCAAGGAAGTTCATGAAGGATTTGTAAAGAATGATATCCCACTTGATGTACTTTGGCTTGATATTGAGCACACCGATACAAAAGCGTATTTTACTTTTGATAAGGACAACTTCGCAAAGCCAGAAGAGATGATCAAGGATCTTTCTGAACAGGTGTGTCTCCAAATTGTTGGATTTTTGAACCATCACTTACTCAGAACCGTAAACTCATCACAATTGTTGACCCACATATCAAGAAGGACTCCAAATACTACATTTACAAGGAGGCGAAGAAAAATGTAAGCTGCTCCTTTTCTTTATTCCCACCTGAAAAAGATTTCAGAAATATCTTGTCAAAGACGCAAAGGATGCAATTTACGAGGGAAATTGCTGGCCCGGAGATTCTACTTACATTGATTTCTTAAACCCAAATGCTCGCAAATGGTGGTCGGACCAATTTGCATTCGATAAGTACAAGGGAACCAGCAAAGATGTGCATATTTGGAATGATATGAACGAGCCATCGGTTTTCAACGGACCAGAAATCACCATGCACAAAGATGCGAAACATCATGGTGGATTCGAGCATAGAGATGTGCACAATCTTTACGGATTCCATCAACATTCTTCAACTTTCGAGGGATTGAAGGCCAGAAGCAATAATGAAGTTAGACCATTTGTACTCTCGCGATCATTCTTTGCCGGATCTCAGAGAACCGCTGCTGTCTGGACCGGAGACAACAAGGCAGATTGGGCTCATCTCAAGGTATTTTTAAAGTTTTCTAGTTTATCAAATTCCAATTTTAAAGCAATCCATTCCAATGCTTTTGTCCTTATCCACTGCTGGACTCCCATTTGTTGGCGCTGATGTTGGAGGATTTTTCGGAAATCCAGACGAGGAACTTTTAGTCAGATGGTACCAGGCAGGAGCATTCCAGCCGTTCTTCAGAGGACATTCTCATCAAGATACCAAAAGACGGGAACCATGGCTTTTCGCTTCTGTGAGTTTCCGTCAAATGGCGTTATAAATTCAAAATAATTGAGTTTTCAGAACACAACTGACGCTATTCGTAATGCTATCAAGACTCGTTACGCCTTCATCCCATACTGGTACACATTGTTCTATGAGCACGCGAAAACCGGAAAGCCAGTAATGAGACCATTCTGGATGGAATTCATTGAAGACGAGCCATCATGGGATGAAGATAGACAATGGATGGTTGGAAATGGACTTCTAGTCAAACCAGTTCTTGAAGAAAAGGCTAAAGAGCTTTCCATTTATTTACCAGGAAAGAGACAAGTGTGGTACGATTGGGAAACTCACAAAGCCCGTCCATCTCCTGGAGCTGTTCAGATTCCAGCTGAGCTCAACACAATTGGACTTTATCACAGAGGAGGTGAGCTTTTTTTCAATTTTTTTCAGTCTTTTACAACTTCTTCACCCTCCCTAATCATATATTTTTCAGGAACCATCATTCCAAAATTGTCGGAAGTGAAACTGACCACAAAAGAGAATCACGAGCAACCAATCACTCTCTACATCGCTGTCAACCAGAAAGGAGATTTTGCCAACGGAACAATTTATTTAGATGATGGAGAGTCATATTCCTACGAGAAGGGAGATTACGCTTACTGGGGATTCACTTTCAAGAGGTAATTGAAACAAAATGTACGAAATTTTTCACGTTTTACTTTCAGAGAGCATGATTACCTTCACACCATCACCAACAAAAATCTCGATAAAAACGGAAAGTTCGATAGTGATGTGTACATTGATAAAATTGTTATCCGTGGAGCCAAATTCTACCCAAGAAATGCTCACATTTTCCTTGACGACTTCTCTCCCGAAGACCTTGATTTTGAGTTCAACCGCGAAAACTTTGTTATGGAAATTGCCAATCCAGGAGCATTTGTCACCAGAGAGTTCAGAATTGACCTTCATTCATAAAGTCAAAACTAATATTAACTTATACCGCCATTTTATTAAAATTCATCATGTTTTACGGTTTCTTTCAAGCTTCTTTAATAAATTTTTTAGTGAAGTGAATAGCCTTTCAGACAGCTATGAAGAAAAAAAACGAAAAATCAAATCTATTAGGCACACACTGAGAGAGAAGAGGCAGCTAAGTGAGTTCAGACAGCAAGAATAGAGTGGTGGCTCTGAATGATAAATGGTAGCAATTGTCACACTGCGAGCAAAAACATACACCAACAGGAAAGTGAAACGTTTAAAACAACTTTAGCTATACGGCACTGGAAAATGAGGATGAAACAGACTTGACGTTTTTCATACTTCCCATAAACATAATTATTTCTGGGATGGGATACTGAGCCCCATTTTAATGAACACATAAGATCATAACCCGTGAGATGGGTGGAACGTGGAACGATGAGATGGCATCGTTAATTTGCCGGTAAAACGAGGGAATGAAAAATATTGGGTCGTTAGGCAAACGATGAGAAATGAGGAGAGAGGGGTGTGAAGGTGCAGATGGTTAACACGTGGTAAATCTTTTCTTTTCTAGTGTTTTTTTTGTATTTCTCACTACATGGGAGGTGGTGAAAACTATTCCATTGTCTCACGCTGTTTTCTAGGGCTATCATCACCCTCTAAACATTCTTAACCATGCGTGACACATTGAACTTGATGTGGGAGCCGCACTGATCCGAGGTGACTCATCGAAATACAACAACTTGATGATATATGATTTGGTCCAACTTATAAAAGACCCCTCCTCTACCGACTTTTCGATACTTTCTCCCGTCTTCAATCTAAGTTTTCTGGAGTCTAATAGCTTTAATTACAATATGTTCCGTGCCGCATAACCATAATTATTTTTGTTTTTTTCTGTTCCTATTACAAAGATGAATTATCGTAATGGAACGTAATGGGTGTGACATTGACCAATTTTCGATTATAACCTCTTGGAAATGTGTTACTTCGGTATTTACAACACGCGAGTTCCTCATGTATTTCTTTTTTTTAAAGGTGGGGGGACATGAAAAAAATAATGTTCTCGAAATTGCGTTCAAAGATGCCTCTCGAGGAGTTGAACTTGTGAGGGCGATGATTGAGGGTGCGGCGCCGCTACCGACTGAGCCACGCGGGCAAAGAGAAAGCGCACGTCCGATTGCATACATAAAGGCGAGGACGACAGCTGTACGCAGAGTGACATTAAGCGTTGTACACCGTGACGGTAGAATGCATACTCTAGCTACAAAAAAACTACGAAAAATCTCCTGTCCCCCCACCTTTAAGTTTCAAAAGTCTGTAACTTCTCAAAAACCAGTTTGAACTGTTCGATTGAAACATTTCAATCTAAAACTTTAATGGAAACGTGTTGCTTTATATATTAATTTTTTTTAACAATTTTTGATCATAAGGGTCAAAAATTACTAGCTTCAGATTAAATATCGTTACGTACATTAGCCAAATTCTATTCTTTTCATAGAAAAGAAACAATTTCTTTCTTCATGCTCAATCTACTCAACTCTTTTGTTGTCAAATTTCTTTAGGGGACAAGGACAGACGACAAAAATATTTTTGGTTTATCTCAATCTTATATCCTTCAGACTTTCTTCATTTTCTCAGTGCATATATATGCATGTTGTTGTTTCTCTCTGTGTTTCTCGGTTTCTGAGTCTCAATTCTAAAAAGTCGCCCCAAGGGGGTGGTCTCTCTTTTTGTTTTCCATCTACCGCATCTACACTTCGATGTCAATAAGGGTTTTTGTGATTTTTCATAATTTTACTCAATCTTTTTTGTGCACAATATTTTATTTCGTTTCAAAACTCATTATCAATATCACTTCTATAGTAGTTGTTCTGGTTAGCTATTTAGCCCATTTAAACAGAAAGAAAAACACTTTGCATATTGTTCCAGTAGGAAAATTGAAATTCAAAGGCAAACCCCTAAGGAGTGTGAATGATGAGAAACGCATCATCATTCACGATGCTTCGTTTTCTCTTGTTCCCAGGCAGTTTCTTCTTGTAGTGTTTACTCACCCCGCGTCTCAAACTTCTGTTCTGTTTTCCCATACACGTTTGGTCTAGTTTCGAGAGCGTTTTCCATGCAAATTCATCTAGGTTCTTTCATCAAGAATCGGAAACTTTTTCTGACACCTTCAGAAAAACTGAGAAACGTGAATTCTGAAATTGACCCCTCCAGAATGTACTGAAGTAGAGTCTCTGTTGTCATTTCATTTCGTGGTGTTGATTCTCAAATTCCGCTTGCCTGCGGCTATAATTCAGATCGTTATTTTTCCTCTATTTTCTTTTCATTTTTCGGTTCTATACAGGACTACAAATCTTGAGAATATTGCTTATTGGAGAAAAGACTAATGATTAGTACGATGCATAAAGCTGAATGTTTTTTGCTTCCGTTTCTTTCATTTTTTGTGCCTATCCTTTTCCGTATAAACGTTGCCCTATTCTATATTCTCAAGAGAATATAATTTGAAGAAAATAGCAAGTAGGTCTCACTTTGAGAGATGTTGAGAAAACGTAGCAGATGTTCCATGAATGGACCATGCATTTTCAAAATTATTTTTCTCATCCTCTTGCATCGTCCCATATGTTCAATGGGTGTCAGTAGAGTGGTGTAGAAAAATCTAACTGACAGGTATTTTATGTTTTATATTTTTAAGGGGCAAGTGTGCCATCTAATAATTTTCTACATAGGAGTTTCAGTAACTATTACAACTTTTCGAATCAATTCCTTGAATTTATCTAGAAAGTTCAAGAGGATTTACGACACCAACACTGAATTCTGCAACGACGGGGGACATAAATCTTTTCAAAAACAAAAACAGTATTTGTTGACTGCTATATTTACTAATTATTATGATTTTTGTTCACAGCTATAAAAACAACTGCTGTGACCGTAAAAGCGAGTACCTAGTAGCCACGTCAGGTGTCTGCAGTCATGTAACACTTCTTCTTTGAACACCTCGTAAAAATTGACTCAGATCTTAATAGTCGTTTAGTGGTTTAACGGTTTCAATTAGTTTGTATCAAGGGTTTATAGTCATTTAACATCTCACTAGTCAGCAACAACGAAACCACTGCCGATCTGTTTCACTCCCCTTGGAAATACTCTTAACTGCGTTCTTGGAAATACTCTTAAATGCGGTGAAGAAAGGTGCACGAAAATGGACGATCAGCAAGAAAGCAAAGTCCACTTTCAAATTTTAATTTTCAAAGTGAAGTTCCTTTTTATGGGACAACCGTTTTTGACGTTTTCAATCAATTAAAACGACTCGCTCGTCTTACTTTTCTGTTTATAGGCACCAAGAACAAGGTTTTCAATCTCTTGTCTTTTTTTTGCTCCCTGCAAGGCAAGTTTCTTGGCTACCCTCATTGCGACACTGATGACCTCTCACACATTCATTGTCATACCCTTCTTTTCTTTTTCTTTTCATCTGCTACCAGTATCTTATTTTCTGTATGTTGGCGTATCATTAAAATTCCTGAGTGAATTGAAACTTGATATACACAAAAAGAAAATGAAGAGAAACAGAAGAAAGAGGCGGGCAGTACAAAAAAAGATAAAATGGTTGCGTATTTTGTCTCGTTGAAACAAAAAAGGAAATGTAAGATGGTTAGAACTATGTTCTTTCTTTCATGATTTTCTATTGGAAATTAAAGTGTTCTAATTACTTCTTTTGATTACTTGTTCTGTTTTTGACATCTAATTAGCTTGTGAACTAATTTTTTCCAATTCTCAAAGATGTTCTAGAAATTTGATTGTTTCACCAACTTCCGAACGACATTGCTTCGATTTTCAAAGTTTTAATTTTTCTCCGTTTGGACAGCAATCAAATTATTTATTTATCATGTTTGTGTGGTGAAAAGAAACAAAGCAAACTTTGGTATTTTTGTTGTTAGAAATTTTCTTCAGATTAAACAAATGTTTTCTTCCAATGCATCAGATGTTCAGATTTTTTCTTCTTTGGCTGTTACCAGATTCTTGGAAAAGAAATTTCCAATTTCTTTTATTTTTCATATTCATTCTTTTTTCATTTTTCAATAGTTCATTTTTTATATTAAAACTTCCGCACTGATTCTGGCGACCTTTTCCTTTCATCCTCATCATTGTTTAGTTTTTTTTCACAATCTGCCTACCTTACAAATCTTTTCTACCATGCATAATTTGGTATCCTCTTTATAATGACGGCCAACGTTTTTTTGTATATGTATCTTTGTATTTAATATTTTTCCAATCCCCCATCTCTTTTTTTCTTTTTGACTGCTGCAAAAAATACATTTTATCCCTAAACGTCCGGACGGCACACACTTAGTCCTTATTTTACACATGACAGACCTTTTCCTTTACGTGTCTGCCTTTTCTTTTTATCTGAAAACTTCTTGAGAAAAACGAGACGCACACTATTCCTATTTTATTTTCGACACTTGACCTCATGAACTGCAACTCCTTCCAGATGGATTGTGCGGCAATCTGTTTGCTCACAACTGCAGTACAGTTCATTCCACTGTCTTCCACCATTAATTGCACTTATTGCGTCGAGGCTCGATCCACCTATGAACATTGTTTCAAAGATGTCATCGAATGTGCTTACCGTGATCCAAGCTCACTGATAATTTGTTTGAACGTCTATGAAAAAAATGGGTAAACGATTTTTCACATGCTAACAAATTCATTTTTAAAAATTATTGTAGAGATGATCCTGCAATAGTTCAACACACAATTCGTTGCGTTTCCTATCAAGACTACTACGTTCCAGATGAATCCATTCGACAGGTTATTATCACTTTTTTTACACAGTCATATAAAAAACGTTTTAGGTCAGTGCCGGCGGTTCTTGTGCATTCGAGCACATTCAAAGATGCGAATGCGATGTGTGCCGCACTCCGACGACAACCACAACTACAACTACCACTCAAATCACCCCTTCCATGCATAGAAAGTGAGTGGCTTGTCGAAAAATGCAACTCGTTTTTTTGGTGTCATTGAACTTCTGCGTTTTGCAATGTAATATTTTTCTAGGAAGCATCATCATCACCATCACCACAAAGAGGGATCCAGCCATAACCGCAAGCATGATCAACTCGTATACCCCAACAACACCTTTGCACAGCAGTTCAGAGATAGCGGACTCTATTTAAAATCATCTCCTTGCTTTTTATCTCTGTTTGGTCTACTTCTTGTCCAATTATTATTTTAGTATCTTGGATCTTTTCTCAGCCCTTCTTTCTTCTTTATGGAAAATTATAATTAAACTACCTTAAACATGTAGATACATTCTAAAGTCTTTGTAAGATGTTTCTCACTTGTTTTCCTTCCCAACTACGTTCTGTTCTCTTTTCGACGACGTTAACACTCCACACATTTTGCACCGTGACGATTTCGAATCCGATTTCCGGGTATTGTATAACTAACATTTTGAGTTTGATTTGTCATTAATTCAACTTGTAATCCAATAAACATTCGCTGTCCGTACAGTTTTTCAAGATTGCACAGTTCTGGAATGTACGTCATGGAAGTTTTCAAAATTTCGGAATCTCTGGATATTAGCAAAAACAACAGACTAACAGCAAGCAAAAATTCAACGAGATGCCAACTGAAGTGAGAAATACGCCTCAGAACATTATGGCTGGCATTTTTTCCGATAAAGTTCTTTCGAAACAACACTCCAAGTTTAGGAAGTTTTCGGAATTCCAATTTCTAATTTGTACATTCTTGATATTGTCAAAAATGATAATTATTTGAAAGAAATGGCGTGAATATGGAGACACAAAAAAACTTATATGTTCTATGTTTTTGTAATCAAAAATAATAATTTTTATAAACTCTCTAAATGAAAAAAATACAACTATAAGAAACAGTAGTATGAAAGTTTTTTAACTAATCAATAGAAAAAGATTAATGTAAGAAAAATTATGTACCTTTCGAAAAAAAAAATTGTTACCAACGTTAGTATTCACAGAACCGTTTGGACATAGTATGTTACAAATCAGATTCGTAAAGCTTGAAACAATCCTAGATTTTTGGAATTTTTTCATGTTTTATAGTGACTATAATAATGATATTAAAAACCTGATAAAAACTTCGTATACATTCGAAAATTTTTTTCTCAAAATAGTGGCTGATATCCAAACCGACTTGTTTCAAGCAAGGTTTCATAGTACTCATTATAACGGTGAGTGAGGTGTATTTCCATGTAGAGTAAAGATTTAGGGCGGCATTCGTAGGTGCTTACTATACAAATTTCACGACAAACTTCTGGAGTGAAACGATGTTCGAAAATATATTGATACATATTGTAGATTCTTAATTTAGTTAATGGAGCGGTCGAAAGAGCTACAAGACGTTTCCTGATGAAGCAATCAGCGACGGAGTCTGAAATTTCAAAGATTTTTTTAGACTATTGATAGAAAAGTCTGCGGATCGAAAATCTATTTTTTAAATACTCGAAAAGTTTCTAAATGGAAGTTCTTTCTTCAGTTAAACATTAACCTTCTGAAAGTTTTTATAAACAATGTACAAGAAATGAATTCATTTAGAAATATAGTTGCTTGTGTTTAAAAACTCAGGATATCGTATTCTCAATAGAAAAAATTTAAAAGCATTCAGTCTTACAATTCTGGATTCAAAAAGGGCAGAAGGACCATGAAAAGCTGAAAAGAGCTCACAGAAACTTATCGCACTAAAAATTTGAGAATTTTCGAACAAAAAAAGTTTCATCGAAAATTTCATATTGATTGCCATAAAAAAACTTTAAAATTTCGAAAAATTTTGCATTTTAAAAACTGATAATTTCTTCCTCCCAAAACTGAAAAATCAGCGAAAAGTCAAAAACTTGCGGAAATAACTATTTTGGAACCCAAAATAGGTGCCTAGGCAACTTATAAAAAAAACAAAAGATAATTTCAAAACGAGGTAGTCGAACCTCAAAATTTCAGCTTACCAACCCGCGCCACAACCACTCGGCCACCTCACCGCTGAAAACAACAAGGCGCGAGAGACAAGTGAACGGCGTTCCCGGGAAGTTGCCAGGAGGCGAAATAACAGAGGAATGGTGAGTTTACAATAGTAAAGGATGTGGAAACTTTCACAAGGGAGTTACTTGAGGGAGCGGGTTTAACTTTTTTTTTTAATTTTGGGAGCAGATAGAAGAGCTTATGAGGATTCCAAATCTGTTAAAAAATCAGCAAAATGCTCACGTGAGCTGAGTTATGACCTAGAAAAGTTTCCCTATGATTAAGCAATTTCTCGTGAAATTTTTTTCACGGAGTAGTGTATCTCTTTTAAAACAATAGATTTCAATCAGCAGTGTGGTAAAGTGGGTTGTAGGTTAGGAAGGTTGTAGGTTCGATTCTCCCGATCCCAAAAATTTTGCAAAATTTTTTTGTTTTATTTTAAGCTGCCATAACTGGCTCTGGAATAAAATTTACGCAATTTAAACATGTTTTTCGGGAGTTTCTCATTATGAGTAGGCATTTTCCAGAATAAAAACAGACATTTAATTTTTGAAGAAATTCACAAATATGTTCATGGTTCATCGAAGATTTTTCAAAAAAAATTTTTTCAAAATTTTTTTGTTTTTTTAATTGAAAAAACAGTTGAGGATTCTAAACACATCGGTGGCATTCGATGACAAACTGCTGGAAACATATGTTCTTAGCACAATACGCGCATTTGACCATTGACAATGTTTTGCACTCAGAGAATTGGCACTTTCCATAAACTTTCCGGTCGAAGCAATATTGAATTGGTCTGTCACATTTCGAAGCGCAACTGTCCACATAACCGCCAGAATACCAGGCATACTGTCTCCATTCTTGGAAGATGGGAGAGCACATCTGCCAATTTGCTTGGCTCAACATCTGCAATCAAAAAATGAGGGACGTTTTCAGAAACTTCAGAAACTTTGATGATAGAATCTCGTTGATGTGGCTTAAATTAATTCTTTTTTCTTTGCGCATATTCCGTCAAGTTCTTCATGAACTTCTTGAATTGACGGAATATCAAAGTTTCTGAAGTTTCTGAAAACGTGAAAGGCCTATTCATAATGAGAAACTCCCGAAAAACATGTTTAAATTGCATAAATTTTATTCCAGAGCCAGTTATGGCAGCTTGAAATAAAACAAAAAAAAATTTGCAAAATTTTTGGGATCGGGAGAATCGAACCTACAACCTTCCTCCTCTGAACTTGCCATTTTACCACTTTGCCACACTGCTGATTGAAATCTATTGTTTTAAAAGAGATACACTACTCCGTGAAAAAAATTTCACAAGAAATTGCTTAATCATAGGGAAACTTTTCTAGGTCATAACTCAGCTCACGTGAGCATTTTGCTGATTTTTTTAACAGATTTGGAATCCTCATAAGCTCTTCTATCTGCTCCCAAAATTAAAAAAAAGTTAAACCCGCTCCCTCAAGTAACTCTCTTGTCAGACGAAAATGTTCAGCATTTTTGGAAAAGCGCGTAAACAGATTTTAACAGTGGGTTAATAAAAAGGTGAACTAACCCCTGTCTAAAAATAAAAAAATCTGAAAGCCTTTCTGAAAAGACCTCCCTTGTTAGCTTCGTTTTACCATTTTCTTTACCCGGTTCTCATCACTCTTTATTTATCTTCAAATAAACGAGTACATACAAAACTTGTAATTATATGTAGATCAAGGTATAAAACGTTCAGAGAAGAAAGTGCAAATTTATTATTTTCAAACCTGAACTATCAGAAATTTTAAAATTTAAATCCAGAATTTTCAGGTAGTCTAGATACATTCAGTTGAAAGAGTCGTTTCCAAATGTAAAATACATGATACACAAAGGATAATCCATCTTCAACCAACAAATTTGTCTGAGAAAAACTTCTGACGGTATTGGACCACACAATGAAATAAATAAGATTTTATCTTCTAAGACGTACCTCACAGAAAGGTCGTTTTTTGCTTAGTGGGAATTATACAAGTGCTTCTCAGAAGCAATTCTGGAACAAAGGTGTTTTAAACATATTCGAAACGGAATCTCAGTCTGCATATTCCGAGCAACACGTTTCCAGACCGGAAAAGCCTATCAACTACTCTTAAACAAATTTTTTACTCTTAAACAAATTTTTAAAACTCATTCAAACTAACACGAGTGAGCTCCAGTTAACAGCTGAGAAATGTTCAAATGTGTTCTTAAATTTACCGACTTTATTTCAGATTTGTAAATCACGAATTCAACCAACTTGAATGTTATTTATGAGCGACCTGGCTACATAACCAAGATTTATGATTATCTCGCGATACCATGGACCGATAAAGAAATTCCAAATTGGATTAAAACAATTCTTTTCATTGTTTCCTTGTTGTCTTCTTTCTGTACTCGCATCCAGGGGTATGTGTGATTCAGATAACATTTTCCGCAAAGGCCACATTTGGTTACGCCTTTTCCCACAAATATAACACCAAGTGGGAAAATTTTCACAGTTTCCGATTTTTTTTGTGGAAAACTCTGGTGAACAATGATTTCCATAATTGATGATCCTTCACTTTTGATCCATCACCACGAGTCTCTACAATTACATTATATGCGATAAGGATTAATTTGATGTTTCATCAAATCCTTGAATCTCTACCATTTTTTTCATAACTTTGAAAATCCTTGACCCGGCCATCATTTCTTGTTACAATGTAATTTGCCACGAAAAAAAAAGCGTCGAAGCGTGCGTGGTGAGGAATGAGAACGCCATCATTGAGAATAGAAAACTAACACTTTTTGAATCCCAGCAAACTCATCAAACTATTGGATGAGGTCAGTTAGTATACTTTTCGAAAAACTTGTGAAAGTTTCCAATACTGAAACTTAATTCTTCAGGCGTTTTGATTTTTCAATTAATAGTGAGAAGCATCTTTTGAAATTTTGAAAAATTCATTTTTCACGACCTCCTGGTGTGAGGTTGATAAATGAGTCAACTGTCTTCTTCCTTCACGTCCTTGGTAATTTTCATATGTAGAGGTTTGCTACCCTACACGCGCCACAACAGATGCATAGGGAAAACGACAACCAACTACAATTCATTTAAAGTTTTACCAGACTTTTTTAAAGAGTAAAAACCAACTTTACATCATTTCTGTAGCCATAACTTTTATTTAAAATGCGTTTTTTGTTTTTTTAGCCTGTTTTCCACTACAGAAACCTTACGAACATATAGCCAACAATCTTCGTTGAAGTAGTTTTCTTTAAAAGGCAATATGAACATTTAAACCCATGGTGTTTTTCAGATGTTATTTTATTTATTTGTACCGCTCCCAATGATTTTATATATTCATTTTTTTTCCGATCAGAAAAGTTGAGTTATGAGTATAATGATGCGCAGTCAATAGTTATTCTTTCTGGTTTTGCCCTGTCTTGTTCTCTTTCTGATGTTTCTCTGGAAACAATTGCCCGACGTCTTCAAGTTGTAATTACAATGTGTTTTGACGGAAAATAAAAAAGTGATGAAAAAGTTGATTAAATTCTTGCGTCTGATTCTTTTTCTCCGGCTTATCCTTTTCCCTTCTCAACTTTCGGAACATTAGGAGTTTTTGTTTAGTCACATCTTCGAACACCTCCACTTCACCTTACTCTATTCACATCCTGCTTTTTTCTTTCAATTAATTTTTACTTCCGCTTGTCATTTGTTAGATTTTCTACGACGTTTTGAATGAGAAGATAAACGGCATTGTTTCAAAAGACAAATTCCGCGTCTTAACCAATAATATCGGCCATGTGAGCTATGCTTGATATCCTATTCATTCTTCTAATGTCAAATGCGATTGGGCATACTTGGTGAGTTTCAAGTCGAATGAACCTTAATTAAAAAAAAATCAATTTTCTGATTTAAACGAAGAAAATCAATGAACTTTTTTTGGATTGCGTTTCTATATTGTCAACCAGAAAACGAAAAAAATAACCGGAAAATACATTATGACTTTCGAATTTGCAGTGCTCGATTCAATATGAAGGCCAATGTGCACCATATAGGCGAAACCCACTGGCAACTGTTCAACGAGTGTAGTAAAGGAATGCTCCAATCGTTTTTGGGATCATTGAACACTCGAGGATATCCTGATAGACATTGTCTTAGTAAGTGTAACGCAAAGTTTTGTGCCATCCAATCAGATCACTCCTAAAAATGAAATCATCAAAAAAACTGTTGGAACTTCTTTGACAATTATCTGTGCACTTCAAAATCATCTGAAATCACCACTCTTGAAATATTCTAGATTTTCGAGATTTGACAGGCTTCCGTGCTCTCAGCCCGGATTTTATTTCAAAAACGATTTCAAAACAATATTTCATTTTTCGAATAATTTTCCTTGAAAACTATATCAATGATTTTACAGCTGATTGGAACGTTCTTGGGGAATGGGACGGAAAGTTTCGAATACAGCATGCTCAATCGAAAAAATTCTTATGCTTCAATAAGCGAGCACGAGTCACATTGAGGGTAAGCAAACTGCGCATTCTTGAAAAAAACAAAAATTCCTTTGTTAAAATTCAAGTTCAAGTATACGAGTATTTCAGTTCAACGGTACAGATGTCAAGTGTACGTTCATTGAAGAGATACATGAAAATGGTTACTCCAGGTTACGGTCGTCCTGGAAGCCAGAGTTATACCTGGGTGAGTCGAATTCTAATTAATATAATAGTACTTGTATTAGTACTTGTTGTTATCAGTCATAATTCTTGGTGAGACTGATTACAAACGGCGAACTACTGTCGGAGTATTTTTGTAAGCTTTTCCTTTTTCAGGTTTTAACAGTCGTGGAAGGTTTCAAAATCCATTGTCTTTTCACCTTAAACCTCGATGTTTTGATTGGATCAAACTGGTACGGTATGTACCTGAATCTGAGAAAAATGTGTGTTCTGCTCCGCCAAAACCAAAGCCATCCACGCCAATTGAGCATTCCCCATTTGCCTATAAAGTTGCTCGTTCTCACTTTTTGAAAAAAGTTTCAGCCACACATGAAAGTTTATATCGTTTTACTTCTTTGAAAATATGAATAAATGAAAAATTTCAATTCGCTCTATGACATTATTTGTATATTTTTAATACCATAACATTCCGAGGCGTGCCTGTCTTTGAAGATTTTTATTACCATCATTCATGCATCTATCGTTGTTTTTAAATACCGCTATCTTTAATAAAAATGATTTTTATAGAGAACGTGAATCATCTAAATAATCCACGTTAAATAAAATAGGTAACAATAACAATCAATATATTTAGTTTACCATCAGTCAATCAAAACTTGTGTTAACCCTCTTTGTTTCCTCCCGACAAATGTGATCTCTCCAGAAAACATGAGAAAATGAAGCCTAGAAAACGAAAAAAGAGAAAGAGAGGAGAAAATGCCGAGAAGATTCTCTATCTATTTCTATTTGGAATGGCATCTTGATGCCGGGCAAAACGACGTAAGACAGTGTAAAAATTGAGAAAGTGCTCAAGTTGATGAGACGCAAGTAGAATAGAAAAAGAGAGCAAAAGACACACGGAAATCTGCGGGAGTTTGAGGCAAGATCACTACTCCCGAGGCAAAACGACAAAATTCGAAGTGCTGTTGTCTCTGCGAGCATTGAATCTCTTCCCTTATCTCCAACTTTTTTTCAATTGTTTCTATTTACTTTTTTTACACATAACACACAATGCGAGCATCTGAACTTTCTCCAAAGTTCCAATATGCATTTCGCAGGTGTTTATTCTACACTTTTGTACTTGTAGCTTGGTTATTCATGGGAATGATTTTATTTCCAGCGTTGTGTACACCAACAGTTAAACAGGTGAGTTTTTGATTCGGCGAATTTTCGTGAATTGGAGATTGTTCTAAGCAGGGTATTTGACGGATCATATTTTGTAGTTCTCTGACGGATCACATTTTGTAGTTCTTGCCGAGAAGAATTGATATAATTTGACTCCATTTAGACTTATCATTTCTACTGTTCACAGGCTTCTTTCGATTAAATTTCACTTGGAATAAAGTAAATTTTTGTTGGAAGCATTTGAATGTATCAACTCCGTAAAAACTGTGCAAGCTGTTTGATCAAACAGAATTTTTGACAAATCCCTTTTATATTTCAGTATTTGCGACGTGATTTATCTTTAGATATGGGCAAATATTCAGAAAAATAATTACTAAAGAGCATACTTGTTCGGGAAAATTTTCTCGGGAATTCCTGTTCCCGAAAAAGTTCCCGAAATTATTTTTCGAGAAATCGGGTTCCCTAAAAATTTTCCGAAAAATCTTTTCGGGAAATTTTGTTCCCGAAATTTTTCCAGAAGTTATTATTTGGGAATTTTCGGGAAAATTGCGAAAAATCGGGAAGTTGGTTTTTCAGTGAATTTTGCTTGTTTTTCTCAAGTTATGTTGAGATTTGTCGATTTCTTCAAGTTTCTCAAAAGCGTCCAATGCATTTGCTTGAAAACTATTAAAAAAGTAAAAAATTGTGGAAAATTTGAGAAATCTAGAAAAACAATGACTGGAAAATTTCCCGTTTTTCCCGGAATTTCGTGAAAATTTTTTTCGGGAAACTTTCCGTCGGGAAAAATTCCCGGAAAAAAAATTCGGGAAAATTCCTGTCGGGAAAAATTCCCAAAAATTTCCGGGAAAACCGGGAAAACGGAAATCCCAATTTCCCGATTTGAACAAGTCTGCTAAAGAGGCTCTTCTATGTTTCGAATCCGCTCTCCTAGATCCGACTTATTAGAGGGACATTTCTACCACAGGTTTTCCTAATGCCGCGTTCAAAGTTGATTTCCAGGAGTAATTTCCTGGAAAAACGCTGTCCAAAGCTGCCATTGTTTTACAGATTTCTAGGAACAGAAAACTACTGTATCACTCGTTCTGACTGTGTTTTTTTAGTTCATTCATGTCTATTTACGGCGGGTCTCGAAGCGGAGGCCTCCCTGGAAATCTGTAAAACAATAGCAGCTTTGGACAGCATTTTTCCAGGAAATTACTCCTGGAAATCAACTTTGAACGCGGCATAAAATTCCATTGATCTGCAAAACCAATAGCTTTGAAACCGCACTAGAAAAATGTCACATTTAACTTATCTGAGAAAGTAGCAACATTCAAAGCAAAGCAATGTTCGCCCTCTTAAATCCAAGATTTTAATTGAATATTTGTTTCAGGACGATAACGAAGCTGGAGTATTCCGATTGGATGCAAAACGATCAGATTTGTTGAATGTTTTATGGGCTGAGACAATCACAAATGGAGAGGATGACTGGTCAGCGCTGGCAGATCAAAAGCTGGAGCTCTACGAAAAGGTACACATTTTTCCAGACAATGAACAAAACTATGTGTATTTCCAGGCACTTCTTCAACACTATGGAATAGATTTGGACAAGTCTGACAAATCTTTCGCTTCCGGCCTACAAAAATCGTTTGCCATCTCCACCACCATCGGTCCTTTGGATGTTGATGACTTCACTACAGTAGGAAAGTTTATTGCCGTCATTTATGCTCTTATCGGTAGGTGACATTCGTTCAAAAAAAATTTCAAGTTTCACCAGTTTCAGGTACCCCATTGTTCTTGACTGTCATTGGTCAGTTAGGAAAAATGGTGACGTCATTGTGGCAGGTAAGTTGAAACTCTCTCTCTCTCTCTCTCTCTCTCTCTCTCTCTCTCTCTCTTTCTTTCTTTCTTTCTTTCTTTCGTTTGTTCGAATGTTGAAAATTGGAACAATGGAGAGAACGTGCGCATCAGTATTTTGTTTCTTTTTTTTGTTCCAGGGAACGACTCTATGGGTTGTAACAATCGTTTACATTTTCATTTCCGCCATGATTTACGATATCGTGGAGGGAGGATCTGATGACGTGGTAAAAGAGTTAGCGATTTGTAAATTTAATTTTTCGGAACATTCAGCCATTCATTGAAGCGATTTTCTCAATCTTTCTGCAATTCACAACTGTGGGAGAAGTAGATAACGAGTTTCAGTAAGCATGGTTTGGAATTTTTCAAATCTCAGTTTTGTTTTTCAGTGGCGTGCTACCCTATGGAATAGTTGTTCTTGGCTTGGCTCTTATCACAGCTCTTTACCAAGAAATGCAACAAAACATAGAGCATTTTATTCATCCTTTCGAATATTCGTTCAACAGGTGAGCTCCAAAATATATCGCATTTGAATAAAAATTTCAGATTGTGTGGAACTGTTGAGAGATGGGTTGGAGAACGAGACGAGGCAAAAAAGTCGATTGCAGAGACAAGAATAGAGGAGGAGAATGAAGATGAGCTTAGTGACTATGAGTAATAATTTCAGTATTTTCAAAGTTGAAAAAAAAAATCCTCATTACATTTCCAAGTGCTTTCGTCCATTGAAAAAAATGGTTCAATTAGCTGTTTTGATAGATTTGAACGGTGAACATAGATCTTTTTATTCGTTTTCAATCTTGCAACGTGTATATTTGTTTTTGATTGTCTTGATGAATAAAAACTTAATTTCACAAAAAAAAACATTTCTAAGAGAGAAATGGGCTGATCAGATTCGATATCAACTTAGTACCAATATCTTCGAAACAGGTTTCGCTAATTTTGATTTTCCATTACAGAAAGAGACAATTAATCATTTCCATTTTCTCATATTTCATCTCACTTTTTTTATTTTCTATGATACTTTTATTTTGTTGCAACTTGGATCATCATTATCATGATATTTATTTAAGAGAGTTTATATTTTCAAGGGCCGATTGTCTTCGAATCAGTAAGTACTTTCCTCTTGTTATTTTAAAACATTTTGGGTTTTGAGTTATTTGAAAAACATTTTTTGAAAATGTACATAATCATGGCTGATGTAAATAGCCAAAATTCTTATCTATTCACAATCTGGCTGTGTTCGACGTCTACAGAATAGTGATAGATTCTGTATGTATTGTTTTCAACTTGTCAATTCTTCACGGCCACTCATTTGTCATTTATCAGTTCTTTTCTCGTTCTCCCTCTCTTGCCTCATCTTTTTTTTTCTCGGCCTCGGAAACAAACGAGGGGAGAATGGAAGATCGATTAATTGAGATGATAGCCCCAATTACGGTCGTTTAGAGTAAAATAGATGAGAAGAAAGAAATGAGGCGTTAGAAATGAAAAGGAGAAAAAAGAAACAATTTTTTTTCATATTTAGCGAGGAAAATTACAAATTGTATGAAAAAATCATTTCTGAGACAAACACACCTTTTTGAAGAATTTCATGCTCTATTGACTTAGTAATGTTTTAGTTGTTTTATGAGTTTACTTAAGAAACATTAAAGCATATCATTTTAAGTTTTTTTTCAAAGCTGCAAAAATTTATTTGAGAAAATTAAAGCTAGGAACAATAAAGTGAATAGTGCTGCGCATTTTGCTGCACATCAGTCAAGGATTGGAGACTAGTGAGATATACATAACAGATTTTTAGAAATATCACAGAGAAAAATGTTGTAAATATGACAGTACATATTATATCAAGCATACAATTATGCTTTTTATGTTGAACAAATTGAGGAGACCCTCGTGAAAACATCATTATGAGAGACTAGGTACAGCGGTTGCTCCATTTTCTAGACTCATTTTCAATGCATGGAAGTGATTCAAGCTCTGAGCCAAACTGTGAAGAGGCGGTAGTTGCGGTAGTGGGTGGAAAGGATTTTTTGGTATCAGCGTTGCTGCAGGGGTTTCGTTTTGATTGTGCGTTTTCTTATGCCGAAGTAGATTATCTTTTCGATTGAATCTGAAAATGATCTAGATTATTCAAATTAGATCTGCTTTTTCTGATTTTTCTGGTTTTTTTTTCGAAAGTTTCAATTATCAAGTTGTTCATTCAAACTTAAGTTACTATTCAGTTTTCTTTTTAAATTTTTTGACCAGTTTCTGACTCAAGTAACAAATACTGTCTAAAGCGTTTTGCCTTCATAGTATCACCCAGGTCACTTTTGTTGTGTCCAAGGTTACTAACCAAAACGGTACGTTTCAATAGTTTTTCCTTCCTTTAGTCTATTCACTCCTTCCGATCTCTTGTTTTTTAGCTTCACACGTGACAAATGAGGGCTTTGTTTGAAACAACACACAGAGACAAATTGAAGGTGCGACTTACTTTTTATGGCAGTGTGGACACGTATGTGGACGGAGACCCGTATGAATGAACATGTGCTTTTTCAGAAGAAACTTGTTGGCAAACCGTTTACCGCAATTGTTGTGCATGCAAATGAACGGTTTTTCGAGAACTGCAAAATATGTAAAAGCTTAAAAATCAAACTGTCCGAGAAATACCTGAATCAGCATCACCGAGTGTTGGTGACGTGAATGGTCCACTGGAAGAAGACGATGACTCATTTTCCGTGACATCTCCCGTTGAGGGAGAAGGAGATACTCCTATTTCGCCTTCATCGCTTTCGATATCAATTTTTACATCTTCTGCATCCGAATCGGTGCCAGAGAAAGCTAGATGAGGAGGACTTACATTTTTCATCATGCTGGCGGCGTGCATGCTCCTGAAAATTTGATGCTTTCTGATAAGTGCCCTTTTTCGGGACTGTTTTTCGTGATTTAGGAGATAAATTCTTGGTTCGCGTGTATTTTTTCAATCGAAAATAGTATTTCTAAGTTTCCAACCCTTCATTGAGTGGAAACCCCATTTCGTCATCCGTATCCTCATTCCCTTACAATCAGTCTGTCGTTTCCACTATCTTTTACAACGCTTAGGCAATTGGTAATCAATCTTGACGACGGGCGGATAAATTACCTCTTCTTCTCATCTCTTTCAATTCTCACTCACTCAACATTGCGGCAAATTGTTGTGTCCATTTAGTTTCTCTCTCCCTCTACAGTAACCGACCTCCCTCTCGAGACAAAATGTTTTTTCATGACATATTAACTCAGTATTTTTTGCTTTAAATGAGAATGAAAGCGAAAAAGAATTTTAGAATATTGAGAATAATCGGATAATTCAAGATAAACATCTTTTGTCCGTTAAAAGCACACCGACTTGTGAAACTCTCACATCAAATTAGACAAATAGGTATTGAGTTATTTATGACATGTTCCCTCTAAAGAATTAGAATACGCTCCTTTATTCTCAAGGTCTTTCACTAAATAGAGTTTCCTCCAGTTTATTTACCGGAAAACGTTGACAAATGAGGATCCTTTTGGAAACAAATTTGCTTGATCCTTGATTCTAGATTTCAAAAGGTGAGAAGTTGAGATGAAACTTTTTCGAAGTGTTTCATTTTCCCTCGCTTCCTAATTTTGATTAGATAAGACCACCTTCGGAGAGGACAAGCATTCGTCAATCAATTAGGTTGGTGGATTTTTAAAGTGAGAGAGAGAGAGATAGAAGTTAGAGGGAAGAGGGAAGAGGTGGTGATTGGTTGAACAGAGTAGTTATCGAAGATTAATTTCATTTCGATGAGATCATTCTAAAAATCAAGTCTAAGGAATATAATTGTCTCATGAATGTTTCAAGTTTTGCTTTACCAACGTTTTTTATGCTTTTGACTTTCCACCATTAAATGTATGGTGTTGCCATCTCTGTCTCTGGTCAGACCAGTTACCAGTTGATTTATTATCACCTACATTTGTTTACGCTCATCATCTACTTCATTCCCCTCTTTCTCGCAAGACGACCGACCGCTACAAAAATGCAGTCCCGGGGCAAGTTAGTTACCTCTCTCTCCTCCTTTTTTTTCCGGGTTACTGTATCCTTCTATTCTACTTGCTTTTTTCGGAAGAGCAGCACGTCGACAACCCCCCCCCCCCCTCCCCCATCAATTGTTGAAATAAAAAAAGAAAAAGCGAACCAATTGTTCTGACGATGAGAACTGATTGGGAAGGAACAATAGGTAAAATGCGTCACCCGGGAGGCGCCTACTGATACAGTTGGGTGAGATGAGAAGGGGGGGGGGGGGGCTGGCATAAAAACTTACATTTTCATCAGCGCGGTCAATTGTTCTTCAGACGGTTTCGAAGGTTGATGCTGCTGGAACACATTCATTGCATTCAGGTAGACAGGATTTGCAAACGGCGAGCCCAACCATCGCTCCATCATTGCTGTTCCAGAAAATGGTATATTCATTTGGGGTAACACAAATGGAAGTGGAAGTTGGGCATGAGAACGTGGGGTTGACGGTGGTGGAGGGGACATTGAGTTTTCTTTTGACAACATTTGTACAGTATCCTCCAAACTTCGCTTGGCTCGTTTACGTGATGGCATCTGGAAAAAGTAAAATGGGAGAATCAAATGAAGGAAATGAAGAATGCGTTCACATAATAGTTTTGTTTGCACAAAAAAAATAGAAAGAGGAGAATGTGATCTGAAAAATGTGTGGGAATCTCAAATACATACACAAACTTACCCCTTTCAGGGAAGACGAATCATCTGATGATGAAACCGGTGACGATGGAAGAACAAGGGGACTCTCCAAACCTTCAAGCTTCTTCTCAATAAGCTCGGTTAGATCTGGAGATGCTCGGCGAGCTTGCATGCAAGTATTCAAAAAGACCATTTCGGTGATTGACATGCCATCAGTGACGGAAACGTCGGATTCCTCCGATGTTAAATGTGGGGATACCAATGCGGTTCTCTAGAATGATGTGGTAATGAGTGACATGCAGATTTAACGAGCGGAAGATTTGAAATAAAAAGAATGAAAGATCAATATTGAGATGCGTAGAATACGATAATTGCTTTTCTTTTTACACACTGGTGGGTTGAAAAGTTTTACGTTTGAATTCGAAATTTAAACAAACCTCATCATCATCTTCTTCCTTCTCCATATCTTCAACTCTATCCAACAGGTAATCCATGGTTTGTGTGATATCAGTTGAAGCTTCTTGCAATCTTAAAATTCACATGGTTATCACTAATTTAATTTGAACTCCTACCTGTTGATTTCAAGTATCAGTTCTCCTCCCATCTGTGATATCTTTGTTTTCAAAGCTGTATTGTTTGAGGGTCCTTGTTGCTTTTTTAAAGCCAACACCACCGGCTCTACCATTGATGTCATGAAGTGATCAAGGAGTGTTTGCGGTTTATAAGTCATCTGGAATCTGATTGATAGATATTGGAAGTTGACACAAAATTATGAACAATTAGGAAGATACGGAGTTGAAATTGAACAGTGTTAAATGAGAAGGAGGAGTGAGGGCAAAAGTAGGCGTGTAAATGATAACTGTGAGAAGAAGGAGAGAAGAAAGAGGAGGACGACCGTTTCTCTCCCTCTCCTTTTTCTCCCCATTTTTCCTTTCTTCCGTCTTATTTTCTCAACACATGGAGTTACAACAAGTGATTGTGTGTACAATATGTGTAGATAAGGATCTGCGAAATCGCGGTAGAGATATATATATATATATATATATATATATATATATATATTCCTCCCACTTTGTCAATTTATGAGAGATACAAAAAGGTGTTACGGTTTTCGAACACTCATCCAGAAACAAAAAGAAGATATCGAGGATGAGGAGTTAGTAGAGAGGAAATTGTTAGGAGAAGATGCCAAACGTCGTGTACTTTCTGAACTATGAGAAGGCTAGACAATATAACAAAAAGATAGAAAAAAGGTGAAACTTATACTTTATACGATCTGAAAATTGATCTTTATTAGTTCCAAACTAGAGTAATGGAGCCAAATTTGAATTCAAAAATCTATTAACCGCCTACATAGGTGGGTGGAGTCGTTTCCTAGAAGGCGTTTCCGTTGCAGGTACCGTATTGAGATGACCTCACTTCGTTATGAATGGGAGGATGAGTGCTGAAGACCCAACTAAGAAATATGGACATTGAAGTGGAGAATTAAGGTTAATAGTGATAAAGACGGGACGAGAAAAATCGGTTTTGAACAGGGAGTAATTAATCAATTTTGAATACGTTCCAATGGGCCGAGAACTGATGTATTTCAATTTGACGTATCTAGGAATGTTAATAGGGTTTGATAGAACTTTTTCAGTTTGACACATTCAGCATAAGTTTGAATTTTCCCAAAATCTTACAGAAAAACGAAATTTGAAAAAAGAAACTTAAGTCATATTTCTGTTAAAAAGTAACACTAGTTAATTGAGAGCTCTGCTTCCAAAATCTTCAATCATTTTTAAAAATCTAATAATAGTATTATGATAATACACTTTCGTCTTTACTCGAAAATTAGAAAAAAACGTACAGATTCTCTATCTTATCACAAACATTTGTGGTAGCGCACTGAGAACACTGGGGTTATTCTATTAACAAGCTCTGATAGATAGTAAACGGCTGATTAGATAATCAAAAAAGACAGCTACCAACATTACCAATATTCAATAAACAAGATTTCAAGGAATCTTTTTTTTTAAACAACTTAAAATTGTGATCCCCACTTCATACGTCATCATTGCAAAGCCGAGTGGAGTTTTTTTTTCCACCAACAAAGAAACACAAATACGAAAAGATGAATTCAGAGAAATACAAAAAAATTTCGAAGCTATTCGAAGAAAAATGTTTTTGACCAGATTTTCAGACCGTACTTAGAACATAATTTGAACTAATTTACAAGTTTCTCAACTATAATTACTATACGATTTCTCAATTAATTAACGTTCAACTACTCCTTATAAAAAATTCTCCAATTGAAAACGCAGTTTGTTTGTAAAAGAGTATCTAACACTAGCACATAAACAATATGCTGTGTTCAAACGAGGGATGCACGATTCTGTGTGCTGAGCATGTTGAGGCGTGTTGTTGCGCAGTGATTCATAGAATAAATTCTGATAAATCACCATGAACGAAATCAAGCGGTTATTTTTGGAGACACACTGCCCTTTAATACCAAGCGGATGTTTTCGGTATCACCGTAAAACATGTATTAAAAGGACCGGCTCTTTTATTTTTCCAATGCATCTCCAGAGGGCCCTTCTATTACAGGGGCCCTTCAATTAGAGAGGCCCTACTATTTTTCCGGCCATTTTTGTTTCGGAAATTTTTCGTTGAATAATTCGTTGAATTCAAAACGCATGAAAATCTGTCAATTTCACTAAAATTGAGTAAGTTTTTTAGTTAAAAATTAGTGTTTCAAGGCATTTCTTCTAAATTGTGGAGTTTTTTTCACACTGAAAACGCATTGAAATTTTGTAATTCCAATGCATATGTTGAGAGGGTCCTTCTTTACAGGGGGCCCTTCTATTACGGGGGCCCTTCTATCACAGAGGGTACTTCTTTTTTCCAAGGCCCTCTCGAATGGCCCTTCTATTAGAGGGGTCCTTCTATTAATGGGACCCTTCTAATACAGGTTTTACGATAACTGATTTTTGAATTAAAAATCTCTTTAAGCTTTATTTGTTCCAGAATTTTTCACATTTTCTACTCACTATTATTGGGGGAAATTAACTGACAAAATCAAGAACTCGGGGAAAAATGAAAAAAATTGTTTTGAAAGGAATATATGTGAAGGGGAAAACATTTCTTGTGGGGTTATTAATGGTAAGAGACGTGAGTAAACGCGACAAAAAAGTTATGATGAGAATTATGTAGAACAGCCAATTTTAGTAAAGTTCGTAAAACGAAATCATGAACAATCAACATCAAAGAAGATTTATTCCGGGTCAGCCTCCTTAGCTGCGGAAGACATGCCTTTGCTCATGAATTGTTCGCATTCTGGGATAGGAAATTTAGCTATATTCTGGTACCGTATGGTATTACCGGTGAAGTCAAAAACAGTTTCTCGAAATATTTTACTTCGTCGAGGTGTTGGCAGTTTTCCAATGGCTGTGGTGAGTTACAGTCTTGCCAAAGATAGTTGACGGCGTTCGAGAAGGGAACAAATATCATGAAGAACATGATGAGCAGGAATTGTGAGATATAATGAATGACTGAAAAAAGGGTTTTCATAAAAATAATATATTTCTATTCAAAAGAACTGAGTGAAAACGACGAACTTGCTGCATATCCATCTTCTCCCTCTCGAATTTTGTATTCTTGTGCCTGGTCTTTCACGGAATACATTTTGAGATTATCCGGTAGTTGGTGAACTTCTAGAACTTCAACATCAGATCCCTGGTACGTAGGTTCTGGAGTTTCCGAGCACAAGGTGTCTTCGTATTCCTCGTCTTCCATTTCTACCATTGGATCGGTAATGCTATAATACGATTTCATGTCATGGATGATTGTCGCTGCGGAAGGTTTCACTGGCTTGTTCTTCTTTTTATTGTTCTTCTTAGCCTTTTTTTTATTTTATCCACTTCAGGTTCACTGACCACAACAGGCTCTGTTTGGGGTCGGAGTCTGGCAGCTTTCTTTTTTGTTACCACTTGAAATCCGTCTTCATCAACGATAATCGGCTCTCTGAATGATTTGATTCCACAATTACAACATATGAGTACACTGGAAAAACTCACTTCTGTTTCGGTGGCAATTGCGATACTTTTAGGCTATTTTTACGGCGATTATATCCACTGCGTTTTTTCCACTCTTTTGGGCTTGATAGTGGTTTTTGAAATTCTTCATATTTTACTGCTTCCAATTCTCCTTTCGCTCCAAAAAAGAAACATACGAATTTGAAAAAGTTATCGGTTTTCTGATTGTGCGACATTGTTCTTTCTTTTGCTAAACGAGCCATCTCCCGACGTTGTTTTTGAGTTAATCTAGTGCGAATGCGCCCAACCGGTCGATCATTTACCAACGAATCGACCGAGCATGTAACGTCTTGGGTGTCCAGAGAAATTGAATCGAATTCTGATGAAGTTTCTGAAGATTCAAGAAGTTCAGGTGTCTCTGAGTTGATTGGTGTTCCGATAGTGGGGGTCACAAATGTAAACCATTTTGCCCCTTTTTTGAAAACAGAGCTGAGGACTCCGGCATATGTTGTTATGAAGCAGCAATTGATCATTCGGTTGTTGAGAAAACTCTCCTCATGCATCGTGTCAATTATAGGACTGAAATAATTTGCATTTGAAGTTAGGAAAAAGTAAATGTGTTTTTGTTGCCACCCGGTTAATAGGTTGAAGTTATTAGGTTGATAAGTGTTTTTGTTGCAACCCGGTTAATAGGTTAGTTAAATTTTTCTTAAAGATCAATATAATTGGGCATTTTTTTTGGAAAAACCTTAATAATTTTATTTCTACTATGAACATTTTTTGTATTGCAATCATATCGGTAGATTATACTTACGCAATTGAAATGTGCAAAAGCTATCTTCGACTGTAAGACTTGATATTCTCGAAAATGTCAAGTTCAATGAACAAAGTCCAACATGGATAGAAATGTGTTGCGACTGGTACGCAAAGCTTGTCCAGGATGTGATAAAAAAGGAAATATGAATTACACTCGGATTATTACCGGATATCTTAGATATATGATGTCACTCGTCTTTCTCTTCTTTTCTAAGCGCTAGGCGCGTTAGGATTAATTTTTTGAGCATCTTTCTAATAAGGTCCTAATGGAATGATCTGGCGCCGGAAACGTACACACTACCCCCATCCATGATGTTTTCCGAGAGTTTTCCTGCTTCTGATGCCTCAAAATCGGAATAGACGATCCAGATAATCTGAAAAAAAAACTTTGAAGTAATCAGGAAAAATTAAGAAAAGTGCGACAAAATATGACTTGAAAGTTGCGAAACTGCTAAAAATAAAAAAAAAACTGGAACTTTAACCAAGATCTAGAATGACAAAATGTTTTTTTTTGTTTTTCTCTCAAACTCAAGAAATAAACAGAAAAAAGTAAACGGAAGTCGACGTAAAAGTACAACTATGAATGTCGGCATGACATAAACATCATCAGGAAAACTGATAATAAGAAAAAATTACATGAAGTTTTGGCCAAAAGATCAAAATCCTGAGTAAAGAATCAAAAAGAGGGGAGGAGGTAAATGATAGCGAATCGGGCGGAATTTCAAACACTCAGCAATTTCAAACAATTAGCACTACAATAGCACACGGGGGTTTTAGGAAGTGATTCTTTCGGACGTTATTGATTATGAAAATCTCAAAACTGAAATTTTGTGAAGAAGATATCTGACCCGAGAGTCCTTGCCGTCCACTTGTAGCCATCAGCAGAATGGAAAGAAGAATAACCCACCGGCCAACGCGTTCTCATGCTGTAATATTTTTTGAGAAAAGACCTCACGGGCGCCTCACACAGTGGCACTCTCTTTCGTTGAAATGAACATTTTTCATAAACGAGAAAAAAGAGATAAGCTCTCGGCGGCGTAGTTTAAAACGCAAAGCAATTTTACACTGTATTTAGGTCGTGTTGTTTTATATTTTCGAAATAATCATAGCGGTAAAGACAAAACCGAATAGCTGGGATATCAATTTAAAAAAAGCGTCGAATGAAATTGGTCAAATGATATGTGGCATGCACATAAATCACATAATTCGGAGTATATATAACCTCTTATGATAGGTACGCTAGATTCCGAGAATTAGTATCGAATTGATTTAAGAATGCCGGGTGATTTCAACGAAAACGACACTATTCAATGCTGGGTTGCATCTCTAGAAGGAATATTGAGCCGAACTTGAAAAATGAAGAGTTCAAAGTAATCTCAAGTTGAGAAATGGTTATGCAAGCACGGAGGTGAAGTTAACTCTTCTTCGCCTCAGCCGGCGGCAGCAGAAAACATAGAGGCATCTGGGAGGCAAAAATTAGAAGAAGTTGAAAGAAGAAAAAAATGAAATGGAGAGTAAGACAACTTAGAAAGATGAAAAACGTGAAAAAAGAGGATGAGGAGCTGGGTGTGAGATGATGGATACATCTGTTCAAAATGGGATGGCCGGAAAAAAAGCAAAGATAGAAAGCGGAATTGGGTGCAGGAAGAGACTTTCTCATCTGTCACCCAAGTTATGAGCTTAATTGATTAGAGCAGAAAAAATGAAATCTGATTGAAAATTGAAGTATTCGCTTAGATATTGTCGCCAAAATAATTGATCAAACTTCAGTGAAATACTTTTTTGAAAGTGGGACTTGAATTTTTGTGAACGTGACACTGACCACTTTTCTTCAGTTTCAAAGAAATCGCATAGTCGCTAATGACGAATGCGCATTCTTTCTGACCCAATTTCCTGACACACAAAAATGAACTCTTCTTGCTAATATCTTTTTGATTTTTTGGAATATTTTTAAATCTCCAATATCTCATTTAAGATTCGGAAAAAGTTCGGGATATTAAAGAAAAAGTTCAAGGAATCCCCGCAATACTCGAAAAACCCAAAAAAGTGGTCATGATCAGATAGAAGAAGTGGGAGAATGGGAATTTACTTCTAACTTCTTATTCGTATAAACAAAGAAAATGAAAATTTTCCATTCGCACGCACCAAATGTATCTGAGATCCTACATAATCTGGACCTAATTCTGATCATCTTATAGTTTTATAGACATGATTCATTTGTACCTTCAAATCAGTGCTCCCAGAGTACAAAAAAAAGCTAAAATGTTTTTTTCAAGGGACACTAATCTTCCACGGAAACTACTACAAAAAATATGAAGAAAACATTTTTCCTTAATCTTACCTTCTCTCCAATTTTACTGAATCCTTCTGAAACATATGCTTGCATTTTATAGAGATGAACAGTGTTGACGTCCGGTAGATTCACAAGTTTTAAGAGCTACAAAACTGTTGGAAATCCTGAAAATTCAGCTCGAAACTCACAATGAGATGTGTATCTTCCAATGTGGAGAGAAGCGTGATGAGTGATTCAAATACTATTTTAATTCTTGAAGCCAATTTTCCCATATCCTAAACTCGATTCTAATCACAGTTTGGAACTATATCTGCCAAAGTCTTACATTCAAACAAATTAAGTTCACAGTTTTTTTCTTTGAACTCTTAGTTCCCAGTGCGTCGTACAACTCAGCAAATCCTCCGCCACTTTCCCACGGTGATGGACTGAACTGATTCCAAAAAGTCATCTGACTTGTGAGACGTCTAAATTGAGGAATTTGAGTGAAAGAAAAATATGGAAAAATTTATTGGCGAGCAAAAGATACAGAAAAAAACACAGGATGTTCAAGAAAAATATCTTGCGTGGTTTTGACTTTTTTCGCATAGTCAATAAAAGAAAAAATGAGAGAAAGTATACGATGAAGTGAGAAAGAAATGGAGCGAAAAGTTTATGGCAAATTATACCTCAGTTTTCCAAATCATTAATCAAAATATTTAACTGGGGGAAGTTTACTCATTTTATACCCATAATCTCTTTGTACAACATGTAGATACACGTGGTCAAGAAGAGAATACTGATGAAACTGACAGGCTCGACTTCTGCACGAGAGCGTGGTCTCGGAAGTCTGAAAAGCGTTCAACGTCAAAGAATTCCATTGAAATTGCACTGCTCTGTTTGTCTGAACAAATCTAGAAGGCTGGCACGAACACACCCCGTTAGAGTTTTGAAAATTGACTATGTAATTTTTACATTCTTAGAATTCAAAAATTCGTTTTGAAGTGGCCGATAGTTTGAGCCGCACTCAGTTATTACTTTGTGTTAGAGTTGTCAAAAATGTTCGATTTGCAAAACTAGCTTTTAATCGGAAAGGGAAACTTGCTAAAACATTTGAAATGGCACATGTAATGCTGACCATATCGTCTTCACTTGTGCTTACAAAAATGCAATAGGAAAATATTGAAAATCAGATTCACAAAAACAAACACTCGAAAATGGCCTTCATCAGCTTCAATGTTCCTACCTACACTTGTTACGGTATTTTGTTTTATGTTTTTGTTTGTTTCTTTGTATTTGCGTGTTTCTGTTCGCGTGCTAGAAAGTTGAAGGTTACGTTATCCTTTGTCTCCAATAATCCTCTTTTTTTCATCCTTTTTTGAGTCTTCCCCGCTTTTTTACTCAACACTTACAAATAGTCATGATACTCATTCAACAGGGCAACATGAACGGTGTTCGGTTCGGTATCAAGTGGGTTGGGATTGAATTGCAAATACTGCCTGTTAATAACTTCGTAACCAATGAATTGTGGTGGAGCACGAGGTACTCTAATACGCGGGACTTCTGGGATTTCTGGAGACGGACTTCTGGATCGACCGGCAAACGGCATACTAAAATTCATATTATATTTGTATGCACTTTTGACAAAAATGTAGTTTCAATGACGCGTCTGCAGATTTCTATTTTCAGACAAAAAAGTGAACTAAAATCCAAAGAAGGTGAATAGACAATACAGAGATTTGCAAGGTTAGAAGAGAAAACCAATCTCACTTTTGACTTTTTGGGACGAAAAGAGGAAAATAAGACGTTGGAAAAATGAACAGATGTGCCTTTTTTTTTTTGGCAGGTGGTTCACCACTTGCGAAAACAGGAGCCGTGACAGCGCCGTAGCAGCAGCTGATGGTCATTTTCTCAGTTGTCCTCATTCAAACGTTTTATGGCTATTTTTCTTTTCCAAGATATACGCCTCAAAAAATATAAATTGAATGCTGTGTATAAATTGATAGTAGGAAAAACAGAGGAAGACATGAGCAATTAAAAAAATGAGAGGATGGGGTGAGGGGGATGGATCGTTCAAAAAACCCACTAGTTCCATTCATAGAATTAGTTTATTTCTGTCGTTCATTTACTATTCAAATTCTCTAAAAGTGATGGCCAAATAAGAGTAGAATTTGACCTTTTTTTTTGAAAAAATCTGTTGAAATATGAAAAAAAAATACTTGCAACGGGCCGGGCCAGGCCGGATGACTGATTTTTTGGCCCGTGGGTCGGCCTGACAGGGACCGCCGCCCGCCTCATTCATACAGAAAATTTTATAGTGAAAAATTGGGCTACTGTTTTATAATCAAAAAGGAAAAAAAATTAAATTATACAAAAAGGTTCACAAATTAGAACGTAGTCAAAAAAGATATATGGATTTGATGAGATCTCTTATTCTAATTGCTTTGTCTGAGTATCTGAAAAAATTATGAGACTTTTTCATATATTGGATGAATGGCGAAATGAACTAACTTTTTATTGTGGATTATTTCGTTAATAGCCTCTTCAATTGCTTCTGGTTGCGAGAGCAATTGATTCTTAAGCCTGCGGATTCCCCATCATTTTTTCTTAATAGCACGACTGTTTCTAAAAAAATAGCCTTTGTTTGAAATGAGAACAGATCTCTACTTACAAGTTCTGGTCAAACATGAATGGGATATTAATTAGTGGAATTCCAGCTCGTGCAGCTTCTACAATGCTGTTGTATCCAGAATGAGTAATGAATAACTTGAGACGGGGGTGATCTGAAACAGAAACTTAGCTTTTTGTTCTGATTTTCACTGCTTACGAAGCATAGAAGTTTGCGGTAGCCAATCAGATACAAATGCATTCGAAACGTCCATTGCGTGCTGTCTCGTACTCTGAATAACTAATTGTAGATGGATATCTGTAGTGAATCACTTACAATATCGTATTTATCAGCTCTGATTATGAAGTGATAATCTGGGAATTTTTTGACAATATTCATAACTTTGTTATCAATTTTAGTGGTATTTGCTATAGTGCCGAGAGAGAAGTAGATAACTCCAAGTTTCCCTTTCTCCATTTCATAGGAAAACACCTTGTCCATCTCGGTGACATCGTCATCAACACCAAGGCCTCCAACATGAACAATCGTTTGCAATGTAGTGGTAGAAATGTCAATCACTTCATCGGTGGCAATGAAAATGACATCAAAGTTGCTTGCAATGCTAGCTGGGGATGGAAAGTCGGCTCTGAATAGAGTTACGTCAGGTTAATTTTGATATAACTAATGCAACACCTAGGCTGATTTTGTCATTAAAATAAAGATCAACAGTTTTTTTCAATTTATAGTTACAACAAGGAAGTGGATCATGTTGCCAAACATGCACTTAAATACATGATTTCGGCAACTCATCGATTCTATGACACTCTCTACACAGCGCCCACGTAACATATAGTTTACGTGAACTGAACTTAAAGACACCAATATGCATGTTATAATAATTATAGTAGTATTTCTAGCTTTCTAGCTTATTAAAAAAATAACGTTCGTGCAACCGAATATTTAGCATCATAAACTCGAACTTGGTAACAACGGCGACCAAGAAGTTTCTCGCACGCTCGTAATACGATGGATCAGCACTCATGTCGGCAGCAAATGGAACTGTCGAAGTTGGCATCGGTAGACCAGTAAAATTGTAGACAGGGGCAGCAAATGGACAGCTGTAATTCAAAGTTATATGTATATTCCATTCAAACTATATTTTCGAGGAAAAAAACCTGGAAATCAAAAAACGTCTCTGGATACCCAACGCGTGAGCATATCCAAATCCACAGAGATTAATTTGCTCAGCAAAAAAGCCGTCAAAGTTTTCCTTTTTCAATTCGTGGAACACTTTATCATTCTCCAGAAATTCTGCAAATAGAAGAAGCAATAAAGTTGTCAAAATTGTTTCAATTACTCACCTGCACAGAGATCATTGTACACATTTTGATAATCCCACCAACCTTTCACCTCGTCTGTGAAACTTGGTTCTTCCATTACAGTTTCGGATAACCTTAATAAAAAATTTTTAATGAAATTTTTTTCCGATAAACCTAAGAGAACATTTTTGAATTGCGTAGTTTGTTTAAATCCGTCGATAATGCGTTTTTTTGCTTTCTTCACACTATTTGTGGTTTCTGATATTCCCAGGAAATCCAATTCTAGAACAGTCTGCAAAAACTAAATGAAAGGATGCAAATATTTTTTTCTATAAAGAATGAATATTAGGTTGGCGGGAAAGTCTTTGTCATCTGTTTGTTTAATCACTGTTCTCGTATATGGAGGCTGTGTATGATATCGACTCTAGTGAATAACAAGGTGATAAGAACCTTCCATATAAACAAGTCCCCATCTCCTTCCCTGCTCCTCATCTGTAATTGAAACGATATGTTTGTTCCCACTGCTATTCACATCAGACATGTTTTGATTTACCTCTTCCTATCTCACACCACGATGAAGGATTCGGAAACTTTCTTGAAGAATGTGTACAACACACATGCCCCTCACTACAATACTATTCGCAATTGGTTCCATCGTTTCGAAAAAGATGACTTCTCGCTCGATGAAAAGGATCGCTCTGGGAGACCCCGTGAGTTGGATTTGGACAAGCTGAAGCACGCATTGCAATCGGATCCATTTCAATCTAGCCGTGAACTAGCTGTCACATTCGGAGTTCACCATAGCACAGTCCTTGAAGGTTTGAAGTCTCTTGGAATGAGAAAACTTTTTGGTCGATTCATACCTCATCACCTGACTCAAGCCAACCTTGACCGCCGAGTCGACGATTCGATTACTCTTCTCACTCTCCACGCGGGCGATCGATGGCTGGACCGGCTAATAACCGGAGATGAGAAGTGGGTCTTCTACGATAATCACCACAGGAAATCCCAGTGGGTTGGAGAAGGAGAGAGCCCACAGGATGTCCCCAAACCCGACCTTCATCCGAAAAAAGTTATGCTCTCTGTGTGGTGGGGAGTGGACGGCCCCATCTACTGGGAACTTCTGCCCGAGGGCAAAACAATAACTGGAGACCTCTACACTACTCAACTACGAAACCTCAAGAAAGCAGTCGACCGTTCGGCCCTGAAAGACAAGAAAGTGTACTATCAACATGATAACGCTCGCCCACATGTTTCGAAACAAGTGAAGCAGGAGCTGATGGGATATGGATGGAATGTTCTCCCTCACCCCCCGTATTCTCCTGATCTTGCTCCTTCCGACTATTAATTATTTGGCGATATGACACGTGCCTTCGAAGGAAGAAGCTTCAATTCCCGTGGAGCGGTCGAAGCGGCACTCAAACAATACTTTGCCTCACGCCCGGCTGGATTCTACCGCAATGGAATCCATAAATTGAGGGAACGTTGGAGACATGTTGTTGATAATGATGGACAATATAATTAATTATTCGGTTATTTTTTCTTTGAGAAATAAACTATTGAAAAAGTGACAAAGACTTTCCCGCCAACCTAATATAACTTACCACATCATGACCTAAAAAAATCGAAAGAGAGATAATCGAGACAAAGAATAGAAGGGACTACTGATAAAAATGATTTTTCGTGATTAGTGACGACTTAGTTTACCGATTCATGTTGAACTTTGTAGTAGGTTGATATGAATTTTATAGGTGTGGTAAATGTTGGTTTTTGTTTTTTTGTCAAGTATTATATAAGTTTTATTGAAAAAACAAAAAATTAAATAGGTTATTAATAAACAATAGACAATTATTTTCCATATCCGCATCCACAACATCCAGCACATGGAGCTGCAGAAACTATTGCAACTTTAGCGCATCCACAGCCGCAACCGCATCCGTAATATCTCTCGGCACGAACAATCAAATCCGACGATTGTCCTTCTTGCACTAAATCCGCAGATAATCCTCTCTCAATTGCCGCTGCTTTCATGTTGAAGAGTTGTTGAATTTCCACATTTTCCGAATTCTTGAATTCGTAACTTTTCGAAAAATTTTTACACAATACTTTTCTCACCTTATTCAAAATTTCAGAATGGACAGCGACAATGAAAAAAATGGAAGCAACGAAACTAGCACGGATCATATTGGTTTTGAGAAATGAGGCTTTCGTTCCAGAATATTTTGGATGTTTCACACGGGAATTTTTAATACCATTCTACATCGTAGACAATATAATAATGATGTTTGAACACGTGTTTTTTCAAAAGTTTTTTCTCAATAATTTATACTGACACTGAACAAACACAAAGATTCGTCGTTTTGTTGAGGTGAAAATTCAGATAGCGGTGTCATTTGAAGCTTATTTAAATCTTGGTATTGCTGTTGTCTATTTTCAATGCACGTTGCGGCCGAAAATTTACTCAAAATCACATCGTCGGTCGAACAGCGAAAACAACAAATTAATGCATGCGCCTTTAAAATCTTACCTCGGACGTTTTTTTATTATTTTGGGCCCTATTTGGCCGTTTTTCTACCTTATAAGGGAAATAAATTAAAGATTTATAAGTCTTAGACAAAATTAGACAGAAACAAGCAAAAAAAAGAGAAGAAGGCAAAAATTCAATAAATATTGAGGAACTGTTTAAAGGCGCGTGCAATAATTTGAAAAATACAGTAGTGTTCTGTCTGTGGGAGCTAAGCTCCGCCCACCGTTGTTTTCTCGGCCGCAACGTGCATTGATTTCGGACGAGATTTTGATTTCGGACGTTTTTCCAATATAAAAATATTCTTCGTGATTCTTTTCTGGAAGAATAATGATCATACTTGTTTGTGTTAATGCTGTCAGTTTCCAAGTAAGTACCATAAAATGTTTTTTCTGTAGCTTCAAACTTTCATCAATAAAAAGTATGCCTACGACAACGGGTAAAATTATATGAGGCGGGGAAAAATGATGGAGCTTTTTAACAATAAAGCTTTTGATTCACCCAATTATTGCAATTAATGAGAAAAGAAAATGAACTTGTACGCTCATAAAACCAAATCTGTTGGCAAAACCCCAAAGGAGAACAATTGTGCCCGAAAGTGTTTCAATTGTATACGTTAGAAGATGGATAAGAATTAGCGATATAAAATGAATGGAAAAGAGTTACCGTAAAAAAGAAAGTGACTGGGAACAGAAGACATGTAATTGAAAGATGAATTTAAAACAGGGAACAGGAAAGAAAACAATGACGACATAAAAAAAGGAAAGATAATAGTAGAAGGGAATGAAAGCGGCAACGATTTCAACATTCAGATGTGGCCATAATTTAAAGCAATTCTGAGCTGACGTAGTCGATATCATCCCAGTAGAGTGGAGTGGCGTGGCTAAAATCAATTAATTAGTTTCAAGGATTTCGAAGATGTTTTTTTTTTAATTTCTCATTTGTTGTCACAAATAAACCAGCAATTATTGATTCAAAAGTGTTTACTGAAAAACTCAGTTTTAGCTATTTTGTAATGTTTTGAATCCTTTTGAAAAAATAGCATGTTTTGAGATAATTTTATCAAATTTGATTTTTAGCATATTATTTTTCAGCATTTGTAGCAAACTGAAAATATAGTGGTTTCCAACAATAAATAGACATTTTCGAAAAGTTGTCATTTTCCAATATTATCGTAAAACCTGTATTAGTAAGGTCGGCGCTTCTATTTTTCCCATACTTGCGAGAATTAGCAAAAATCTAGTTTTTTAGAAAACAAAATGTTATTTTTCTTCAAAAATGCAATTTTCCGTCCGATCCCAACTTCGGAAAAAGGTCAGCAAAAATGTTTCTCAAAATTTTGTTCAAAGGTGGGGGGACAGGAGATTTTTCGGAGAATTTTTGGAGCCAGAGTATGCATTCCACCGTAACGGTGTACAACGTTTAACGTCACTCTGCGTACAGTGGTCGTCCTCAATCTTATGTTTACCATCGGGCGCCCAATTTCTCTTCACCCGCGTAGCTCAGTCGGTAGCGGCGCCGCACCCCCAATCTGTTGACAGCGGATCCTCAGTCAGTCGAGACCGATCCTATGTCCTAACCCGAGAGTGCTCGCGCGCCTGTAGCGCGCCCTAAAAACCTGAAAGTGTTTATGAGATAAGCGGTGCAATTACAAAACAGTACACAAAATATCATTGACCCATTTATTAGAGAGAAAAGGATGGGCCAAGACAAACGGGAAAGACAATCAAAGGGGAAATACCAGCAGGAACAGAAAAGGGGGGGGGGGGGATAATGGTGTAGGGCAAAAACCTGACGGCGGAGACTCCAGGAAACCTTGCGGACCCACGAAACTGGAGCTGGTCAAACCTCTGATAGCCAATCGTACAAAAAGGGGGAAAATTTGGAAGTAAAATTGCCTAAAAAGTCCTTGGAGCTACCGGCGGCAAAGCGGTGCCCGGACGCAAGAGACGACGCGCGCGGAGAGTGCGCGGCGCCTGTCGGCTGGCGTCGCGGGTCTCGCCACGCGGGTGCGCCGTTAAAAGGGTAAAAGGAGTGGTAATTCAAATATGAATATTCGCATTGAATGAATGCGAGAAAGAATAATTTCACAGAATAATATCGGAAATAAGGGAAAATAGTTTATGAATAATCAAAGGAAGTAATTCAGGGGGATTTTGCGGGGAAAATCGGTAGACCCTGAGTTACTCTGCTTTTAGGTTGACAATTATCTGCGGGAACCCGGATTTTTGTCACAATCTTCGCCCCCATGAGTTCAACTCCTCGAGAGGCATATTAAAGGAGGCGCATTGGATGAAGACCTGGAACCAATGGAAGTTGTCTCGTCTGGTGCTGATATTTCTGAAATTCCAAAAAGTTACAAATACTTTTTTTGTGAAAAAGAAAACGTTGTCAAATTATTGGAGAGATGTTGTCAGTGCCAAAACAAAAATACAAAGATGAAGATCGCGTACCATGGAATCTCCTTTACAGTAAACTTCGGGCTGACTACGGTTACTATACAATTATTTTAAATTACAGTATTCTGCAAAAATTGCCAAAGAGAATGGTCGTGGAGCAGTACAAAAAACTGCTCTAGCAACGAGTCACGAACAAAGCAGAAATTCACTTAGATTCACATGTTAGTAACGGCTGCAAGCGTTTTGACGGGGAACGGATATCAGGTAGAACAAAAAATAATTTCCTCGCATAGAAATAACTGCTTCAAAATCACAGGCTGTCAAGCAGATCTTCGATGTAATTGAAACACCGTTTTTCTCGGATCGAACATTTGATTGTTTGAAAATCAAATACTTGTACCCTGCCATCGGTATCAAGTATAACGAACAAATGGAACTAGTCAGAAATTTTCTAGGGGAAACTCTTTCTGATGTAAGAAATGTCAGAAAATACATTTTGGAAAATAGTAAAAAATTTAGGGTGGACGTTTGAACTTAATGGGCGATGGGTCTTTCGACACTCCAGGTCATAGCGCCCTCCATTGTAGATTTGTGATCATGGAGGCACTATCAAAGTTAGTGGTAGACTATGAAGTCGTCCATCACAAATCCGGATGTACAAAAAAAGGAAAAATATATACGAAGCTAATTTCAGAGATTAAAGGGGGACTCCGACCAAAATTTTTTATTGCCTTAAAATGTTTCAAAAAATATGTATTTGCATAATATTATTGCGAAAAAATTCAATGAAAATCCTAAATCCCTGAAAAACGGCGTTGAAAAAAAATAGGATTTGAATTCCCGCGCAGTGAGAAACCTAGGCCTCATCATCAGGTAAAAAACTTTAAAA